GCCTTGATCTTTTTCATCCAAGCTGGAGCTTTCCCTCCTTCTCTATTTTCTTATGGCAGGAAAGATACTTTCAAGCAGTTGGAGCTCATTCTTGACAATTTTTTTTTGGCGGGGGACAGGATCTCACTATGTAGTTGAGACTGACCTGGAACTCACTATGTAGCCTAGGCTGGTTTTGAACTCACAGCGATCCTCCTGCCTCAGCCTCCTGAGTGCTGGGATTACAGGCCTGCACCACCATGCCCGGCTCATTCTTGACTTCTCCCTCTCCCCCATACCCCACATTCAGCCAGTCACCAGAGTTTGCTCTGTCTACTCACAAAACTGTTTCCAGAAATATCTGCTTCTTTCTTCCCGACTGCCACTGACCTGGTCTTACCCCCATCATCCCTCGTGTGGGTACTGTATCAGCTCCCTCACACTCTGGTCCTTTAGCATAGCCCCCCAGCAGCAGCAATGACCCATAAAAACGCTCCCAGAATCTTGTTGCCCCCCCATGCTTAAAACCCTCTCAATGGCATCTCACTGTTCTTGAGGTAAATTCCAAAATGGTTACCACAGCCATCAAGACTCTGTGGTCTCGCCCTGCCACTTGCCTACCTCATCCCCACATCCTGCTCCTCACTCATCCTGCTCCTACAGGCCACCCCTCTGCTCCTGAAATTGCCATGTTATTTGCTGCCTCGGGTCCACTGTCTCTTCTACCTCTGCTGCCTGGAGGGCTGTTCCTCACATCCTTTACTTCCCCCAGTGCTGTGTCAAATTGCTGTGTAAATGCCACATCCTTGGGACAGAGTTTTGCAAGATGCCACCATCCACTTTACATCAGGTATGCCCTTCTTCCTATTCTTGACTTTCCCCAACTTGGGCTTATATATTTATTTGGTGGCTTTAAAAAATAGTTTCTTCCTCCAAAAGACTAAGCTGTATGGTGGTGAAAACGTGTCTTTGTGTTGCTTCCGACCCCTGTATATTTTGAGCCTAGCAATGTCCTGGCACATAGTAGCATTTACTGGATACTTGCCGAGTGACGGAGCATCAGAATCTCTTATCCACTCCAGTCTTCCCCTCAGACGGTAAGCTCCTTGTGGGCAGTTTCAGATCTAATTCATCTCTGGGGTCTCAGGTCCCAGCACAGGACTTGGCACCAAGGGTCACGTAGGGAATGTTTAGACTGAAGGAAGTCTCCACTTCAGGACGTCTTCCCTTCAGGTAGGAACTAATGGGGTCAAGAGTCCAGAACTTTGCTGAATATCAAGAAACAGACTCCAAGAACTGTGGGAATGGGGCTGGGGGTTGTGGGGGATTCCTGTGCTTCCCAGTGGGCAGAGTTTGGGTATTTCTGCTGTCTGTGGGCGGAGGGTGGTGATTCCTGCTGCCCACTGGATAGCAGGGAGCATTCCAAAGCTCTTAAGAGAAGACCCATGGCAGGAGAGACAGAGGCAGAGACGGGGGTGCGTGGGGTGGAGCTTGAGAAAGGCAGACCTGGGTTCAAATCTTGATACATGCTGTGTGGCTTGAGACAGGTAATTACCTCTTGAGCCTAGCCTCAACTCATCAATAAAATGGGAATGACTAGCAAATTTTACCTCCTCAGACAATTGTGAGGATTTAGAAATAACAATATTTTAAATAACAAAATGAAGGGCTGGGGATTTAGCTCAGTGGTTCCACCGCCTGCCTTGCAAGCACAAGGACCTGAGTTCGATCCCCAGTACCAACAAAACAAAACAAAAAAAAACCCAAATGGACATGGATGCCACCACTATTGCTGATACTGACGATAATGATGAAGGAGAAGAAATATTTTAAGTCCCTAGATGCAGTACGCTCCTAAGCACAGCTTGACTCCGACTTGGGGCTGTTGGTCAAGTAATCCTGAGGGGATTCCAGGCCCAGGAGATAAGGCAGCATGTAAACAGGAAATAGGTTTAAGCCTAGAAATCTGGGCAGTAAGAGGTGGGCAAGCAGTGCCCAGGGTGGGCATGCTGAGTATGGGTTTGGTTTGAATACATCTGAGGGTCCCAGGGAGCTGCATGGCCAGCAGCAGGCCCGGCCACCCTTCCCTCTGCAGGTCTGTCTGCCGTCCCTACCATCCTGACTTCCTACTGTTTAGGGTCCTAAAGCAGATTTCTCCCCACCCCCCACCCTGCTGCTGCCCCTGGCCTGGGCTCTGCTGAAGGCCAGTGTGCTTAGACGCAGAAAGAATGTCGGGCAGAGGGAAATTAATGTTAATGAGTCTCGAGTCCAAGTTCATCTCGTAGCCCAGCCGTGGACTGGCAGTGTGGCCTGAAACTCAGTCTCAGCAGGATAGGGGTCCGAGAGGCATCTCCGAGATCCCATTTGCTACAAGCCTGCTGGTGAGAATGGCACCTATGGGGAAAGATCCCTTGAGACCCCACACGGATCAGGGATGAGTCTGGGTGCTGAGAGGAGAGACTGCTGAACACAGCAGGAGTCCAGAGAGAGAGAGCAGGGAACTGAGCCACAGCGAGGGTCCCCCAGGGTACCAGGAGGAATAGGCCATGGCAGGGGGGCCCGGAGGGGTGGAGAATCTCACTCTGCTGTCCCCGGTGGACCAGCGGCTCCCCCCCACTCCCCAGCGGGCCCCCAGGGGACCTCGCTCTAATAATGTATTTGATCGACTCGCCGGCCGCGTACAAGCGATTATTGTCTTGTCGGGAGTCAAACGTATCGATCCGGCGAGAAATATGAGCGGAGCAATGGGGCCCGCGTGTCAGTTACCAGCCCCGCTGGCCCTGGGGAGCCCCCTACGTCTCCTTTAATTACCGCTCAGCCCTGAGCCCAGCCCGGCCTCCCCTGTGCCACCTCCCTGCAGGCTCCCCGAACCTCTCGAGTGGCCCCCGCTGCTCCCCAGTGCCCGTGCCCTACCTGCCTCACTCAGAAGCGCTGGCAGCCTGTTCTCCAGCAGAGAGCCCACCATCTCCCCTGCCTGGGCCTCCTCCTTCGGGCCGTCTGGTCCTACCCACCTGTGTGCCCCAAACTCTGCCCTCTGTGTCCTTGGGCCTAGTCACCCTCCTTCAAGATCCCCTCTTTCTGAGTCCAGCGCTGCTCCGAGACAGCATGGGAGGTGATAGAGGTGGGGTGATTTCACCCTTCAGGGGCTCCCGTGCCACCTTCCCAGTTCAGGATTCAACTCCAGACCAGGAGGGCAGCACTGGAAGTAGGCAGACCTTTTCTCCTTGTCCGCCTAGAGGGGCTGACCCGGAGTCTCGTCCACAAGTGTGCTCCTGATGTGGGTTGTGCTAAATATGTCCCGGGTGGACCGTGTTCTCCCCAACAATGTCTTATGACCCCCATTTACAAGTCCCCCAAACATAAATCCCAAATGAAAACAGTTTATCAGGCAAGTGCAGCTTCAACACAAGGCTCGTGTACCCTCCTGCTACCAGACTGCTTTCTGGGAGGCCCTCATGGGTCAGAAACCCTGCAGCCAGAGACCATGTGGTCTGTGGACATCCTCTGTGAAATGGCCTTTACCATATGGGATGTCGTGGAGTGTAGATGCCCAGAAACTGTCCCCTCTGTGCAGATGTGAGAACTACGGTCATTCCTGCCATGCCCGCCTCCTGCCTTGGCGCGTCTGGGTGCACAGGTCGGGGTAGTTCCGCCCGTATCACCTCTTCTGCGGGTGTGCACAAGGGTGAGTGTGGCACATGTGGCTGGACCTGGCCTGGCTATGCCTGTAGATGTGCCCTTGTCCTCACGGTCCACGAGTGGAGGGGGCGTTTGTCTACGGGGTGACCATGGTGGCGAGGAAGCGCTGGCATGTGCACACGGAGCTGTCAGTGCGTTTGTGAGGAGTGTTGGGGTCCAGCGTGGGGCGCCGCGTGTCCTGCGGTGCCCCAGGCGAGCAGAGGGACTGTATGGAGGCGCCAGGCGGCTTCGCAGCGTCGGACCCTGGCCGCGAAGAGGAGGACTGGGGCAG